GTGAAAGGTCTAGGTGCGACTATTATGCAAGAACATCTACTACACAGTATTGTACATTTTTGAGGATTTTTTCTGCTTTTAAAACGGAGATGCGACTATTACGTGAGGACGACTATTACGCGAGTAAACCCAGTAATGTGCTTTTCGCACAACTGGTTAAAAAACGAAAATGCTCTTCACATCACGTAAAAGATTACTTTTCAAAGCTGAAAGCTATGTTTTGAGAAATAAGTGCAATTTTAGAAGCTTAATTTTCATTCAACAAGAATTTGTAATGACATGAAATTGCTTAACATAAATAAGTAAGATTAAAAATGATAAGCGCGATGAACTTTTATACGAGAAGTATTTGCAGATGAAAAGTTCTTCACCTTTATTTCTTAGATTGAAATTCTCTCCAAAAAACAAAAGCTCTTGAATTGTTATAAGAATTGCAGAAGCCTGGGGAAAAAGGAAAATATTGTGACCTGCTTGCAGAACTGCATTTAGCACGAACAGAAAAGGACAGCTCGTGCCATTAATAGTCTACAACCAACACTTAGTTCGGGATATTTAACTGAAATCGTAGGCCACCAAGCTAGAGGAAGGGGGAAAAAAATGACGCCAAAGTTTCAGGTAAAGCCTTGCCATTTGTTGCGACGGAACTGCATTAATGGAAGGCTGTGTGCCAGAAGTCTGCTAGGAAGAAGCGGTCCATTGGTAGAGACAGCATTTCCTTTTAAGACAATGGCACACAATTTGGAACTTTTTTTGGTAGCTATTGCCCCTACTTTCTTTTAGGTGAAGTCAATTGCTCGTGTTTATCGGAATCACGGTGCGTGAAACGACAACGACCGTAATTAACGACTTTAACGACCATGTTGTCATCGGTCTTATGGTCACGTGAGTGACAACGCTCTTAGTGAGCGACTTCGGGGTGTGGTGTCAGCGCTTGGCTGTAGATTAAGTGGGAACTGAAAGGCATGGCGATAGGAAGGAATATTAAAATGTTTGCTATCAGATGCCGAACTTTTTATTAAAAAGCGATTAACATGCTCAATACACTAAAAATTTCGTGGTTTGCATTTAATCCTTGATTAAAAAAAAAAAAAAAAAAAAAAAAAAAAAAAAAAAAAAAAACTATTGTAGGTAAACCAGAAAGCTTCCCATATGTTATTAGCTGAAACGAAATAATGGACATTGTATTTAAATTAATTTTCCTTTTATTTTGATGATCTTGCATTGCTCGCTGCAAATACAAAGTTTTCGGAACTGACAATCGTTTTTAATCGTATTCATTAGGCACAGATAAAATTACTTAGTATACATTATTCATATAATAATTTATTCTTTGCTTGCAATTAATAAGCAAAGAGCAGTTAGTCGGTGAACGTACGATAAATTTTAAACGATCTATTGCATCCTGATCTGTTAAGATTCTGATTTCTTTCTCTCAAAGAATCTACAAGCAGTTTCATATGATGTCTTAAGTAGATAAAGATTTGCATAGCCAGCTAAACCATACATGAAATGACATATAAAATCGCATTCATCTGTTTAAGGTCACAGGATATTTAGAACTTAAATTCGAAATTAGTTCATTGTACGTAGTTTACTACACAGTCACTGAAAAGAAAGGTATTTGACAAATTACTTCTGTCTGCACCGATAGTGGGATAGATTACCAACTGAAGTTTTTAGCGAAATTGACAAATTAATGGATAAGCTGATGATTTTTAGCGACCAAGATTACAAATTTAGATATTCAGAGAAAAATTTTAGTGTTAATTTAGAGACATTTTGTGTTTAGAGACAAACTTTTAGGAATTTTATTTGCACAGCTTTAAAAAAAAAAAAAAAAAAAAAAAAAAAAAGAAACTTTAAACGTGAGACCCAATATTCGAATACTTAAAATGGATTAAACTTCATACTGTTCTAAGTGTGATATTCTTATGTATTTACTGAAATAGATTAAACTTTCACTTCGCAGGGCAGCAGTCAGTTCATCTGCTAAAACCATCATCATTTTACTAATATATAGAAAACTGCTTACCTGAAAAATAGGCATAACCCGAATTAGGTCCCGAGACCATGTCTGGGCTGTCGTCCAAACCGTCGGGTGACATGCCGGGCCTAAGAGGCCTCATCGCTCTCCTGGGACTGCGAAAGAAATGTCTTCTGGCGCCCAGCGTGCTCAGCTGCTTCATCCGCCTTTCTTTTGACCTTCGATTTTGGAACCAAACCTAAGAATAAAAGGCGAGGTATGAAGTATATGGTTGGGAAAGGTAATACGCGCATCTAATCAATGATATAGGAAAGGGCAATGAATATGTGGACTAAGTAAAGATTCGGCAAATTTTTGTCATCTGCTTGTAATCAATCCTAATAAATGACGAACATGTAAGATCTTCGCCGAACCTTTATTTACATCTTTTGTCATAAGAGATTCACTCATATGTTGAGTTGTGCACCTTTACATACAAATGTCAAGCTCACGTGTTTGGTAATAGCGATAAAATACACAGAAATGAGAAAAGTCTGACCTTGAACATCATGTAAATTGAGAACAAGATTCAGGAAAATAACAACGTAGTGTCATTACTTTAGTTTCCTGAAAGAGGATTTTTTTTTTTTTTTTTTTTTTTTTTTTTTGTTCAAGGTTATGCAGAAAGTGCCACTGAGGAAGACTGGCCGTATTTCCTTGCCTTTAAATCACCTGTTAATTTTGCTTATTGTGACAGTTAAAAATATCATATATCAATTACATATATGGTTTAAGTGTTTATAAAATTTTCAGTCAGCTACATTATAAATTACATTAAATATGTGTATTTTTAAAGATAAGAAAGATAAAAGGGTGCGCGTATTTTTAAGATAAAAAAGATAAAAGGATACGTGTGTTTTTAAAGATAAAAAGATACATGTATTTTAAAGATAAAACGATAAAAGATACATGTATTTTTTAAAGATAAAAAAGATATATGTATTTTTAAAAGCTAAAGATTTGCAGTCTTTAGTTAATTACTTTCTAGTGCAATTAAGCTTTCTAACATGAAAAATGTGCAATGTCTTTACCGGGATATTAACTCCAGTACTTTCAACTGCTAGTTGGACACGCTTTCTAATTACAACTTTCAATTTTGGCAAATCTCGTGGATATGGTGTGCACATCTTGGATTTCGGATAACCGCAGAACCAGAATTCCATCAGTGTAATGTCGGAGGATTGCGGTGGCCACGAAACTGCAAATTTACGGGAGATGACTCTAACTTGAAACCAAAAATCCATCAGTGTGAAATCGCAGGATCGCTGTGGCCGCGAAACTGCAAACTTACAGGAGATGATTCTATCTTGAAACATTGGATAAGATGAAAATTTGTAATTCCAATAAAATTTTTTCCCTCTCCTCTGATGTGTTCTCATTGGTACTTTACAATGCTTTTCTTTACAAATGTTTTACAGCAGCAGTTTTTATCATGCGTGCATTTTTCCAACACCATTTACGGTTTTTCAATACTTCCCCCAATATAATCCCCAGACATGGTCTCGGGATCAATTTATATAAGAAAAAAGTGGGTGTTGCCCAGTTTTGTTATTTAAATTGTTCTTTTTTGTTATTTAATTGCTTCGTTCGAAAATTTCGAAATTTCTTCACTGTAACAATAACTGTGAGAGCTCTTTGTTTTAAATAATCACTATCCCGAGCGCATATTTTCAAATAATTTCATTTTGATTGGTTTAATGGATAGGCAGCTAGGAGTTCATATATAGAGGAAGTTTTTTTATGACCACCCTGTTCGTATGTGTGTGTGTATTTATTTACTCTAAGACATTTGCTTTCAGCTTGCAGTATTAATTTCTTCGTCATTTCAGTTCTAAGTTACAGAAATATAAAGATAATATGCTCACTCTCCTGCTGCTTCGTCAAATGAATATTTCTCAACTCCTAAATGCTGTGAGTCACTGTCGCCTTTAAAGAAACGTAGCAAAGGAATCATCAGGATGTTAACCTAAGGTACACAGGCTCGACTTTAAGTTTGATGGATTCAGCTTTTCAAACCTATATCTCTGAATCTGTTGCATTATTTGATATGTGTAACTGGAGAATTCGCGGATTATATTAAGTAAGGCTAGTTAAAAATATCTTTAACATACCTTGATATATTTTACAAAAATCCAACCTTTTTTTTTTTTTGACAAACATCATAATTTTAATATAAAATTAAAAAGAGAATAGCTATATAAAAACATAGAAAATGCGATAACTATAAGCGAAATTAAATGCATTGTGAATTTTCATGTGAGAAATAATTTGAATTCTTTTAAACCCCTAATCGTAGTTTGTTTAGACGTAATGACAGGCAAATGTTTTCATCGACAGTAAGCAATTCCGGTTTTTGAATTCTTCAGGGACCCATCATACAAACTCTCAGAAAAATTAGAAGCGATTAGATGTGTTTTGGGGTCATGAACTTTTTTTTTTTTTTTTTTTTTGTAAGTTCTTTTTTAGTTTGTGTAGTTTTATCTTAACCTAAAACACGCAAGTTTCCAGTTATGGTATTTAAACTCCTTAAATTGTTACCCATTTCCAATCGTGACAGTTTATAAACTGTACCTCATTCACGATTAAAATTTGGAAGATTTATATATCTATATATATACATATAAGGGGAACTTTTTCTTGTATTATGAAGAAGCTTATTTCTTTATCTGGTTTAATTCATTTGTTTTATATGCTAATGAAGAGGCATTAAAAACTCTCTCGAAAAACAAAGAAAACTCAAAGTAGTGATTAATTCACAAACCCCTTCAATTTGAATTCCAGTTTTTCACTTTAAAGAAAGAAATAAGAATAAAGGGAAAAAAATACAGTCTAAGAATATTTAAAAATAGAAAAGTGAAAATGTGGAAGAAAAGGAGAAATCCACGGATTACGCTTGATATTAAAAGCCGCCTTCTCGGCTCTCGTAGATAAATATATAAATCCAAGGATTTACACGCTAAGCTCTTTAATGGCTTAACGTAAACATTTAAATCTACAGAAAAGAAGAAGTTGAAAAAAAAAATTAGAAGTTAAAAAAAAAACCCCTTTATTCTCTACTTCTTCTTCTTCTTTTTTTTTTTTTTTTTTTCCCTCTCTCTCTTCTGCATTAAAAACCGTTAAAGAATGAGTTTTGAAAATGTGGTTTACCGTTTTCAAACCAAACGGCACCAGGACCTTAAGTAAAAGCATCAAGAAAAAAAAAAAAAAAAAAAAAAAAAAAAAAAAAAAGAAGTAAATAAAATGCCGAGGATTCACTTTTACACCACCTACTCCTCCAGTTCTGCGGCAGAAGAGGGACGGACAGACAGACAGACAGGAAGACAGAAGAGGCTACTGGATATATATATATATATATATATATATATATGTGTGTACCAAAACCTTATCGTTGCAGCACAGGCGGGAGCCAAATTCCAGCTTGCGGTATTAATCCAAGGAAAGCCTAGCTCTTAGTCCTTTTATCAGCCAGGCTACGCGCAAAATTCGCGCATAAAAACCTCCCGCGTTCCCCTACCCGTCCTCCCATTCCCCCTTCAACTATTCTTCTGTGTTGACCGCCCCCTCCACCTATACCAGCTGAGCCTTGTCTCCTCCAGCCCCCCTCCAGTACCCGCTACCAGGAGACTTCGCCGAAAACAATCCCTCCTTCTCCTCTTTTACTCTTGCAAAAGTTTCCCAATCCTTAAGCATCACTTTTCACCGCTGATACTTTCTGACTGTCCGTCGTCCTGTCTTGTTGTTCTGTCTATTCTCATCCGAGTCCCCGGCATTGTTTCTGCCTCTTTTGTTCTTAAGTTTCCTCACCCAAAACCCTAAAATCCTTAAAACTTTGGAGGAAGATTACTAAAGCCACTGACAAGTTTTCTGGAAAGGGTTAGAGAATTTTTTTTTTTCCTTCCGTTTGTTTGTTTGCTTTATTTCTTCCAGTTCCGTTCCCTGTTTCTTCCTCTGATGCCGGAGTGTGTTGTTGCGTTGCTAATATTTAGTCTTGTTGCTTATCTCCTTTTTCTCTTTTATAGCAACCAGATCCTCTGTAGGAGTCTTTCGCGCTGGGCCGAAATGAAATCTGCGAGGTGAGAAATGTAGTGGAAGATAAGGTGGGGATAAATGTAGATCTTCTAGTGTCTAAACAGAAGAACCTTGAATTTAACAACTGATGAAAGGCTAATTTTTAGTAACTGTCAGAAAAATTTCAAAACAGGAATTTTAATACACGATGTAACGATCTCTCTTTTGTATGCTTCCGCGAATGCAGAATGGTAAAATACATTAATAAATGTTCCGTTTACTTTTGATATTAAGCCCTTTCTGAAAGACGTTTCGTACATATTGACGGATCTTTAAAAGAGAGTTTACTTGATTCATTTCCCGCTATTTTCAACAGATAAGAAAGAAATAACACAATAAAAAATATTTCATTCCATGACTTCTAAGAATTACCTTTCAATAAAAAGGTACAAAATGTCAATTGCAAATTATGTGGCGATTCGCTATTACCTTCCACATGAAAGAAAATATATAATACGAAAGTAAGAACTATTTTACCCTTGTTACATAAGGTATTTCTCCCGCCTTCTTAGTAAGCCTTCGTGGTGTAGTGGTCAGCACACTTGGCGCGTATTCGAGAGGTCCGAGATTCGAGTCTCCGCGAAGGCATTGCACATTTTTCATGTCTCCTGCTTCAAAATAACCTAGTGTCTCCACAGGGGCGTCCGAATTAAAAAGGTGGTGGATTATGATTCTCCACCACCAGGAGATGGCGATCGGGTCCCCTAATCTCCAGTCGCCCTTTAAAAGGGGAAGTGTATAAGGTCTTTCTCCCGCCTTCGTGGTGTAATGGTCAATTCGACAAGTCCGTGGTTCGAGCCCCGGCGAGGGCATTGCTCATTTTTCATCTCTCCTGCTTTCAAAAAATGCCTAATGCCTCTACATTAGGCACAGTTATGTCTAAGGACTACAGTTATGTCTCTACAGTTATGTCTAAGGACCACGTTTCAAATAAAAAAAAAATTAATAAAACTTAAACTTAAAGCGATGGATTGAGGAACTCAGGCAATGAGATATTTAACTTCTTTTCCCATATTAAAAATACCACATTGATAAAAAGAACAATTTTGCCCTAAAAATGCAACCTGTCACAATGCACTTTTTTGAATTTAGATGTAAAAGAAAATCCTGAAAAATTTCTTTCCGTAAATC